CATGTATGCCATGATCTGTACAAGACTAGATGTCTCTTATGCATTAAGCATAATAAGCAAGTGCCAGGCAGATCCTGGAGAGGGTCATTGGACAGTAGTCAAAACAATCCTCAAGTGTTTGAGAAGGACTAAAGATATGTTTCTAGTTTATGGTGGAGTTGATGAGCTAGCAGTGAAAGGGTTCACTGATGCTAGCTTTTAAAATGACAAAGATGATTGCAAATCACAATCAGGGTTTGTATTCACCTTAAATGGTGGAGTAATGTCTTGGAAGAGTTCTAAACAGGAGACTACAGCAAATTCAATGATAGAGGTGTTAGTATATGGATGTCCTAGAGACAATCTTTTAATTAGATTAGGACATATGTGTACCTTTTATATTGTCGCAAATAAATCATAAGCACTATTTATCCTGTTTCATATTTTGTCTCGATATCATTGTTTGTATATTATATGAGTAACTGGATAAACCCTTTAGAATAGAATAGGTATCTCTTGAGTATTTGTGATGAGATCACGATCATGAGGATTCAAGGATACCAGATGTTTATTCCTAATTTTATGTTCCTAGTCTAGAGACACTGAGGATGGGGATCAGTAATCTCAGGTAAAACTAGCACGACTTATCTACTTGTATTCAGATGCAAGGTAACATGAGCTACAGATATGGAGATGTCTTAGCTAAAGTCGTGGGTGGACCTATAATGGTATAGCTCGCACTGAACAGACCCATAAAGAGGCTCTATGAGGAAATCTCACAAATAGTATCATTAGAGCAGCCTCTTATTATTTGGGTATGTCTTTTCTTAGACCAGAAGTTTTCACCTAGACTGTGTTCTAGATGGTATGTTTTGATTGTATACCTCGTCTTCCTGGAACATGGAGATTCATAGGTATACCTTTGGGCATGTCCTGAAAAAACACAAGCCTAGGGTGATAAGCTGAGGGAATTCGTCAAATCTCTGTGAGGGATTAGGTTATATGTAAACCGGAGAAATCGGGATGACATTTACGGGACTCGGGAATCTATGCATAGTAAAAGAGATCATGAGATGATCTGCCTTTAGAGTCAGTAAATTGAAGATTTCCTATTTTGAATTAGAGTCAGGCAATCTATCTACTCCCCAGAGATACAGTACATCTTATGTACCCAAGATACATATACATATGCATGAGAATGTTATAATTACATCATTGACATACACCTCCAACCACTACCCCAATGGGCATGGTAGAGCACACACAGGGATTAACCCCAGTACCAAGGGATTACCTTATTGAAGCTCCCAAGCTAGGTAGCTTTGATGCAAGTTATACCGTAATTTCGTCTAACCAGAAATGCCTACACAAGGTCATTCTCATATTCATTAGCATCACATAAAGACCACTCACTTGGTCATTCAAGCATTCATGCAATTGTGACATAAATACTTACCCAAATCTTTTTGGTGAAGGACCAAAGGCAATCCACCAAGCTCAATCCTCAAGGATTACGTCTGTGGGAGGCAACCTATAACGATCACACATAGGATCATCAATTCAATGGTGCATCAATTTGAAATACAAAACATTACACTTCCCACTTCCACACATAGGTTCGGTCGTCAAGGCCCTAAATACATAATCATGTTGTTAATTTTATCACAACGTTCCTATGGCTTCCTAAGCCCATGACAACATCATTTCAAGTCCACAACACCATTCAATTACAACTCAACACAATTTTTCCTAAACTTCCTCTTCTAGGCCAAAATCACAACTCACACACATCCAATGATTTTGCTTCCAATTCACATGCATCACACCATCACACAACCTATTCAAACTTTGTTCCAACCATCACAACACCAAGCATATAAATTTTACATCATTTTTCCTCACACTCCACTCCACGGCCAAATTGTACATGCATTTCCACCAAAGGATTTTCACTTCAATTCCACACTTCAAACACATCATACAACCTATAATTAACCAATACAACTACTCCACAACTCAATTATCCAATCACACAGCAATCTCAATTCACAAAGTCATGCTCATCCATCACAAAATTTGCCTAAGTTATAATATTTTTCCTCAATAATTTTTATGAGCTCAATCATCATGAAACATCATTCTAAGACATATTTATCTAATACACAAATTCAATTTCAGGTCCCCAACCACATCAATTCATCCACACATGCTTTAGGGTTCATAAAATCAATCCACCAATTTATTCAATGAAAAGTGTTAAAACTTACCAAGGATCAAGGCCTAGGACTCCTCCACACAATACCCAAGCAATGGCTTGAGCAAACAACACCAACAACCTCACTTTTCTTCAACAAAACTGTGGAATGGGTGTGAATTTTCTCCCAAAATAGAGAGTTTCGAGACTTGAGAGTAGCATGGTTGTGTTTGGAAGGTATTTTACTATAATTTTTTTATTCTTCTTTCTTTAGTACTTCTCACCGTTCTATTATTTATTTAATTGATCCTTTGACCCGGTACCTTGTTTAAATCGTGAAGAAAGATAAGGTAAAAAAATCATATAAAACTCATATGTCCTCAAGAATTTAATTTTAAAAAATAATTTAATCTTTAAATAAAGTGTTGAGAATAGTATTATTAAATCTGGCTCGAATCGGTCGGGTTAACCTGAAATCCACTAAACCGATTATCTAATGGGTTCGAGTCAAGTAATAGATCAGTCATGTAACTGACTTGGTGAAAACTGATTTAACTCAAACCAATTTTTATCAAAATGGGTGACTTGACCAGTTCACAAAAAAATCGGCGGGTCCATGCATTCTTTTTTTAAAAAAAAGTCAGAACTTCTTGCAAATTTTTGTGCAATACTCCTCCCAAAAGGTCAAATCCTTTATGCGGCAAACCCATTTTGATTTGTTTGTTTTCTCTAGATATAGCAAAAGTTAATATTGTAGACTTGTTATAGATGTTAAATATTTAATTACAGAACAAATATTTTGTTTGTGGAGAATGGTGGGCGATTTATTGTTTTTCATATTAGAATATTTGAAATTGATATATTTTTTTACACGTATATGAATATATTTGTGAATTTATAAATATAAAATATAAATTATTTATACTTTTCCAGATCACCGATTCAACCTGTAACTTATCGGTTGAACCAACAACCTAATAAATGAGTTTCCCGCCAATGGCAGAGCTAGCTAAGTAACTCAGCAAGGGTCAAAATAATTTAGCCAGTACGAACACTAAATTTTTAAAACGTGACTAGTTAGAGTTATTAAGTTAAGTCTAAAATGTGGTTAATTTCTAAAAATTAGCAAGGCACTGGCTGGAGAAAAACAATTTAATGACTGGTCAATTTAATAACTGAGAAAAACAATTACCTACGTGAGAAGGGACACATTAGGATAAGAAACTTCGAGGAATACGTCAAGTCAAGTTACAATTCAAGTTAAACGGCGAGCTTATTTAATGTGGGTCGGGACTTAATAGTCCTTGATTAAAAATTGAAAGAAAAAAGGATTAACATGAAATTTGAAAAGAAAAAAAAGGATTTAAATGGGAATTTTTTCCCCCTTTTTTGGTAAAGGTGCATCCGAAACAATATGGGCTCTGTGTATATTAAAAAAATCCTTAAACGGCACCCCAACATGGGGTCCATTAATTTCTGGCATGAAAACGCAACTATGTGATTTTGACACTCTTACTCAAAAAATAAAAAATAACAAAATGAATTTTTAAATAAAAGTGATATTTACACGCGTACTTTGCCTCACATTCTTCACATGTAATAACTTGAACAATCTTTTTAATTAAGGACGAGACTTGGAGCAGAAAAAAAATGATTTATTTTACAGAAAAATGTAAGAATAAAATTGTGTAAAATCGACCCATTCTTATCTTCATAAGTCGAAATATATTATACACCGCAATTTACGCTTTAGAATAATCTTTCCTACTCATTAGTCATTATGCAAAGAACGCGAGGCAAAAGTGTATATAAATAATATTTTTGGTTTTTAAAATGGAACAGATTATCCTATCCATCGAGGGTAAGGTATATAATATATTATTAATTGATTGCCATACTAAAATAACACTTATTTCTATATTCTTAATTACAAACTCATTTACTACTTATATAATTAATATAGTTATTTATAAGAAGCATTACAATTATTTATTTAACGGAATTAATTATACTTTGTATCACATTATTTAGGAGTACCAAAACCCTCAAGGTCCGTGGACCTACATTGAGGGAAGCTGCACCCCTCAAGTGGAAAATCGTGGTATGCTTGTAATTAAATCTAAAGTAAAAATATATAAAAATATTACATATATAATCATTTGCAACCCCCTAATTCTTCCTAGTTCCAGCGTAAGGAGTGTTAGAATTTCCTTTTTGGCATGCAGCCCTTCACCCACGGCAGACAATGATGCTGTTTGGCCAGTTTGGGAGAACTTGTCACGATAATTAATGTATGCCAACACATGGTCCCTCGTTTCATGCTTTTTTGGACATGAAACAAGGCAAAACTCATAATTGTACTTCATACGAAAAATGTTTTTTTTTTTTTTTTTTGGTTCTCTTTTCTCTTGGCCATTGGTTACTTATCTACATATGTCAAGTGGGCATATTATTCAGTAGACCAAACTTCAATCAAATACTTAACTCACTTTTTTTCATACTAGCAATAACATTCAATCTTTTCTTACTACCAACCGTAGCCTTTGATTATGGGGAAAAAGATTATGGAAATTGGTGTTTGGTAGATGTCCTACATAGCAGAATTATGCTAGTGATTACCTACTTAAGCTGTTTATGGGTGGCTTAGCAAACTAAGACTTCAAGCATAGCAGGTAAAGCGTCATGCTGTGGAAGGGGCAAATTAGCTTGGCAATATTCTAAAGTGCACTACTAAAGCTTGATATTTTTGAAAGAAATATTAAAGGTAGATACACTTGTACTCGTTTATTTAAAAAATAAAAATATTTTCCCATCTTTTCAAAGACACAATAATCCACAGTCAGAGACTATAACGCAGTTATCTCATAAAGCAACCTTAATCACCAGCAACTTGGGTAACTAAATCCATATCCTAACCTAATATGCAGAAGATAATGGAAGGCTTCACCACTTGAGAGATTCATCTAAGAATGGTCTCAAAACCAAGCCCTTAATTCTAGCACTTCTGTTGATGACCACACCGATTACCTATGCACCATGGTGAAACTTCCAAGATACTAACTAAAATGTAAAACGAAAATTGCTTCCAAAAAACTTGCATTTACAAATATTTAACAAACATTATCCAGCATCTGCCATCTGCCTTCCATGAGATTAAGTTCAAAATACTATCTTCAGAAATTTTCTCCATCTCATTTAAATTACAAGCAACATTAGACAGACAGTTATACTTACCCAGGAGAAGAAATGAAACTTTTAGTTATCAGAGGGTCATTCCCTACTTCTTCCATTATTCTGGTCATTAGTTGAAGAGCTGCTTCCCCCATTGTCAGCATTATGGTTAGTATTTGAACTAGAAGAACGGAATGGCCACAAAAACGATAGCGGATTTCTCCTTCCTTGGTTCGGCAGGCTATTCTCCCTGCCCCTGGAGATATCATTGTCACTACTGCTATTGGCATTCCTTCTTCCCCAACTTCGATTGCCACGAGAACTAGCATGTCCTTGAGGAGGCAGCTCAACACGACAAACAGGACATGAGTTATGCTGAACCAACCAAGGAACAATACAGTCCGAGTGGTAAATATGGTTACATGGCATCTCCCTGGCCTCAGATCCCAATTCAAATTTTTCTTTACAAACCGGACAGTGCGAATCAGAGCGAAGATGGGCCTGTGTGATCTTAATAGTGGGCATTGCATCAATTGAAGAACGCGAGGCAGGGGCCGGACCAAGCTGATCATTCATTGTGAGTTGTTGAACAAGTTCTTCCAGTCCATGACCCATCAAATAGTTACCAAAATCAATGCGCCTAGGACCACCTCTTGGGCTACCATTAGACAAGATGAACCCAGGAGGTTGACCATGAAATATCAAATAAGGACCAGAACTGATAATACCCCAACTCTGTTCAGGAACTGGGGCAGAACCAGACCTCCCTCTAACATCAAAGTTTGGGTATCGTCCAGCCATTCTCTGCCTCATGAAAGTATCAACAGCGTCTCTAAGCCCAATTATTGGTTCAGAACCTCTTTGCCCCATAACAGCATGTATAGCATCAAAAATGTCAGGCGATTGATGATACTCTTCCAACTGTGATGAAAAGCCATGTTCTCGCATCTCACTAAGTTCTTGTACAAAGCCTCCATCACAGTAAGGGCAAATGACATCACTCCCTCCAAGCACGATTGGCTGCCTGCATGCATAACACCAATACGTCGCTCCACTTGACATACTTTCTGTTTCACTATACTTTTAAATTGAAAAAGATACACCAAAAGTCCACTTTCCTTCTGCACCAAAATATAGGGTTTCAGAAATTATAGTCACCACTACAGTAAACATTAGGTTATAAAATTGACATCAATAAACAGCTTATCAGTCCTGAAGATTTAATACACCAGTAGGTTATCCTAGTGAAGTATTTTTGCAGCACACCAGACCAGATGCTCAATATTGATATGTATATCCTTAAAAGGAGTAAAATGGTAAACTAGAGAGAGATAGGAAATTAGGAAATTAGGAATAGGAGACCTCGAATTACTTAGAACTAGCAGAGGGATCAAAATAAATCAAAACTTTCTTTTAACCATCAACTTTGCCAGATTAAATAGTTTGTTAATCTTATTCCAAAAAAATGCTTTTTGAAAAGGGATGCCATAAAAGTTGACTCAGAAAGAAAAAAAAACATGAACAGGAAATGTAAATAAAAGATTTTCCCCCTTCAATTAAACTAAACGAAGCCTTTGATCGGATTTCATATAAATGACAACATACTAATTCTAATTAGAAACTAATTCCCTGAGTAAAAATGAAATTATAAATGAAGTCTATCATGGCTATGAACAATGGATGTCAGAAACTGCTAGCATATAGTCAACTGTCTCTTTGGATCAAATCATGAGGACTTACAACAAGTTTGTCAATAATTTCAGATAATAAATAGTAAATCATTTAGAATCATTAAATAAACCTGCAAATGAATTTTGAATTTTTTTGATTATCATTATCAGAGAAAAAACTGCAATTCCTTCCACCAGCACAACAAGGAACAGGTCAAGTCCAACAATACAGAAGGGAAACAAAACCCTATAAATCCACTTACAAATTAAAACGAAATCATTTTTTCCCCTTAAAAGAAAAAGGAAAAAGTCAATTACTACAGATAAATTAAAGAGGAACTAAATTCATAGAGAATCAGAGAGCACCAACAACAGAAATAGGACTTATCCTCAATCGCCACCACAAAGACAGTAACAGTACAGAGAAAGAACAATGAAACCCCGACTGAAAACTAAAATCCAGCAAAAATCACAGCATATTGTCATCAAAGCACGTAACTTTTCAAATGGGGTTTCAGTTAAACAAAAACCCATAATTCCAGTGACCAGATTAAGTTCATACCCATATAGAATCCACTGAATAAATGTCAAAATAACAACCAAAAAAGTATGAGAAAGAAAAATTCAAGGAAAGGGAGATATCAGAGTGAAATTACCGAAGGAAAGGATGAGAAAACGATAAAGGTAAAGTACAGAGAATGAAGAGCGTGAAATTCTGAGCCTGCTAGAGAGAGAAAGCAGAAGAAGACCTTCTCTCTAACTGTTGACTGGGTCTTCCACCTAAGAGGAAAAGTCTTGTTATTGTCACTCACTTCTTCGGAATTTTGATTATTTTAATTTCACTAAAAAATTATGAAAAATGGTAATTTTAAAATAATATATCACCTCCGTCCTCGGCTACCCAAAATTGGCGCATTCAGATCGATGCAATTTTTAAAGATTTTATTAAAATAATGCAAATCAGGCATGCCGGTATATTAATTTAAATTTAAATTGCATTAAATAAGTCAAAAGACACAAAGTTAGAGTACCGGTATATTACTTTTAGGATTTGTTTTTCTTATGTTATATGATAAAACAAATTCTTCTTACACACATCATAAAAAGATGCGTCATTTTTTTTTAAATAGGTGAGTTCCACACTTGATGTATCTATAACATGAGATTAGAATTTTCTTACAACATAAGATTTATTTTTCCCATTATTTTTTAGATAAAAAATGAAAAATTGTAATTTTTTGTGTTTTTGTTTATTTCCCTTGTATTTAAAAAAAAAATTCTTAAGAGTTAGAAAGTATATATGTTAAAAAAACAATCATCGATTAGTGATATATAGTTTATTTTCCTTAACCACCATATAATGGTGTTACGAAGAGGAGAAGTGGAGCTCCAAGCTGGGTTAAGAACTTTGTTGTTAATATTCATTAGGAACATAATGGATAGATATAATACAATTGTATATAAGAGTTACAGTGAGTGAATTAGAATAAGAGTAAAAGGTTAATGGATTGATATTGTAGTCACTGATATAGCCATTGTAAACGTGACGTGGCATGGGTTAGGACATTCATAGCTTGCTGTCATTGTAATAAAAGGATAGTTGTTGTGACTGATACCATTCATTCAGAAAAATAAAAGTTCTTTGTTCCTTATTCTGTTTCTCTTCCTCTGTTAATGGTACAAACCCTTATCATTGGTGCTTTCGTTCTCCATCAACTTCTGAAGATCGAAGATGCGAATCCAAGAGTTAGCAGAAGAATTGGGTTCTTTTCAAGCATGGGTGGACCATAGTTGGAGGAGATTCAACAACGTTTCGGTGACCATCAAACCCAGCTCACGAGAATCAACGTTCAGCTGCAACAGATCCATGCAGCGGTGGTGGGAGCGGAGAATCGAGGGGGTAAGAATGTTCCACCGCGAGTCAACAATGAATCTTTAGGATCTACTCACCCTAGATATGATCCTAATGACTCAAGAAATGTGATGAAATCAGTGAAAATGGATTTGCCCTCTTTTGATGGGAAGGATCCAACCAGTTGGATATTTAGGGTGGAATTGTACTTCGGCTTGCAGCAAATACCTGAGTCCCTCAAGGTTTAGTTGGCAGGCATGAAAATAGAGGGAACGACAGGTCCGTGGTTCCAGTGGCTATTTAGCGGAAGAACCATTCAAAATTGGGAGGATCTTAAACATGCAGTGAAGCGACGTTTTGGGGATACAACTTACACGAATTTAAGAGGCGTTTTATCCAAGTTGACTCAGGAAGGAGCCATCTCTGAGTACATTCGGAGTTTTGAGTCTCTAATTAACCAAGTGATTGATTTTTCAGATGAAGTGTTACTGTGTTTTTTTTGTTTTTGGGTTACAACCAGAATTGAGAAGAGCTATACAATTACATAGGCCCACAACCCTGCATTAGACTATGCAATTAGCCATCACTTACGAATCCCATTTCACAGAGTTACGTTCGTCCCTGACCTCTACTACCAAGAAGTTTTTTCCCAAGCCAATTTCGATTGTGGAACATAATCCACCGAATGAGGCAGTGTAACCAGTGAAACCATTCCTTCCAGCCTTACCTTCGAATGTTCCTATCAAAAAAAATTCCAATGAGTACTTACAGAAGCGTAGAGAGGCAGGACTTTGTTACACTTGTGATGACAAGTGGACATCCAAGCATAGATGCAAGGCTAAGTTCCTGATGATGGTAGGTGAGTTCGATAATGATGATGAAGATTTAGATGAGCACATAGTATGGCAACCTGAGTAAGGGCAGCAAGAGTGTCACGATTCAGCTCTTCATTCTCTTGAATGTGATCAGTATCCCAGAGCCTTACAATTCACTCACTGGGTGGAAAGTTAGTTTCAATTTTAATTGATTCGGGTAGCTCTTATAATTTTGTATAAAAAGAATTAGCAGAGCAGATGGGCTTACCAATGGTCAGAATTTCCAAAATGCGAGTTTTCTTGGGCAATGGGGAATTTCTTATGTGTGAAAAAAATGCCCTGCTGTTGTAGTGAATATTCAAGGGTGTGAATTTAAGGTTGATTTGTGGGTAATTGAATTGAGGAGTTTGGGAGTCATTCTGGGCATAATGTGGCTGAGTTCTTTGGGAAGGGTAATTCACGATTACAGTGAGATGTCAATGGAGTTTAATTGGAATGGGAAGAGGGTCTTACTGTATGGTCAAGGAAGCAAGGAGGTGATGTTGCAACCTATGGGTAAATGTATGTCCTTAGCAGTAGAGGATGCAACATTGCTGGAGTCAAGGACCTTGTTGTCTGAGTTAGCAGCCTTGAAAGGAAAAATTCCTTTAGAAGTGTGGAATATTTTGGTACACCATCAATTAGTTTTCCAATTACCCCAAGGCTTACCTCCTTTAAGAGACTGTGATCATGCCATCCATCTAATTCCAGGCTCTAAACCAGTGAATGTGAAACCATACAGGTACAACCACAATCAAAAAGCAGAGATTGAAAGGCAGGTGGCTGAATTGTTAAAATCTGGTTTAATTAAAACAAGCCATAGTCCATTTTCCTCACTTGTTTTGTTGGTCAAAAAACAGGATAATTCTTGGAGGATGTGTATAGACTATCGGGCTTTGAATGCTATTACTGTTAAGGATTGTTTTCCAATTCCGACAGTTGATGAACTCCTTGATGAGTTAAAGGATGTTGTTGTGTTCTCAAAGCTGGATTTGAGGAGTGGATACCATCAAATAAGGCTGATTCTGGGGGATACTCCTAAAATAGCTTCTCGCACTTATGATGGCCACTATGAGTTCATGGTGATGCCGTTTGGCTTGACCAACGCTCCTTCTACCTTCTAATCTGCCAAGAATCAAATGTTTAGACCCTGTTTGAGAAGGTTCATCATAGTTTTTTTTATGACATCTTAATATATAGTGGGTCCTTCTTACAGCATCTGGATCATATTCGGTTGACACTGGCTTGTTTACAGCAAAATCATTTCATGGTCAAGCTTAGCAAGTGTGGCTTTGCACTATCAAAAAAAGACTATTTGGGGCACTTGGTTTATGGGGAAGGAGTTAAGGCTGACCCAAGGAAGATAGAAGCAATGATATAATGGCCTCAACCCAAGAACATTAAACAATTGAGAGGGTTCATAGGTCTCACTGGTTACTATCGATATTTTATTAGCCAATATGCTTCTATGGCAGCTCCTCTTACTGACTATTGAAGACTGATGCATTTGTATGGAGTGTTGATGCAGAGAAAGCTTTTTCCTTGTTGAAAGAAGCAATGTCCTCCACACCAATTTAAGCCTTACCTGATTTTTCCATACCCTTTATTATTGAAACAAATGCATCTTCATTTGGTATTGGTGCTGTGTTGTTGCAAAAAAATAAACCTATAGCTTTTTTCAGCAAGAAGTTGGGCCCTAGAATGAGAGCTGCTTCAACATATGACAGGGAGCTTATTGCTGTAACAGAGGCTGTAACAAAATGGTGCCACTATTTGTTGGGTTCTATATTTGTTATTAGAACTGATCTTAGAAGTCTAAAACTGCTCTTTTCTCAAACTATCCAAACATTGGAGCAGCAAAAGTATGCCTACAAGATAATGGGGTATGACTTCTCCATTGAATACAAACCGGGTATAATAAATATTGTGGCTGATTCCTTGTGTAGAAGAGATGAGGAAGATGATCCTGGTAAGTGCTTGATGGGACGTAAATTTGTTCCCATCTAAGCCCATTTTGATGGCAAATTACCATACGTTCCCTCTTCTGATGAGCAACTTCAACATGAAAATCACTTGTTTTACACATTTGTGACAAAAACACAGTGGGGGAACGGATGGTAACATATTCCTTTAAAATATATTGAAAGGGGAACGGACTGAGACACATTTAATGCACCTGCTCCATTCATTTAATGCTTCTGTAACTTTGCAGGTAACGTAGAGTTAAAGACTTCTAAAAAGCAAGGCGGTGCACCAACTGAGCAGCTGGAAACGTGAAGAGCAAAGAATCAAGAGTTCTCATTGGCTGAAAACAGAAGCAAAACATGGGAAGGTCTGCAAACAACGGCTAATCATCACCAAACCCTGTTCCATTCAGCAATTCACGCAAGCTTCCATACTCTGCTGCCACCATCTCGTCCCCTCATTCAAGCAACTAGCTCCAAGGGAATTGCAGTCTTGCCATTCCTCTTCCAGCTATAAATAGGACCTCCCTCACGCAAAAACATCATCGGATTCTGGAGAGATTAAAGTCCAAAAGGAAGAAGATCACCTAGTAGTAGTAGTAGTTAGTAACTTAGTTTAATTTTCAGTTGTAACTGTAGTTAAGTGACAACCCCTCTTCTCTTCTCTGTAAACAACCATCAAGACTCCTCACGAGCAAATACCCATCTTTCTCCATTTTCTGTTACTTTTTGTAAACCATCTTTTAAATTAATATAAGTGTTTTTCTCTTCGTTCCAATCGTTATCTCTTGACTGAATCTCGAGTCTATGTGATCTCAGTTGAGAATAATTATGTTTAAACTATCAGTCATGAGCTGAACTATCTGTGGAACGAGTAAACTGTGAAACTCTTAAAGAACTGTTTTCAAAACTCTTGACCGAAGCTTTTTGTATTTCTTTGGCTAAGTAAGCTATATTCATTGTGCGCCAATGGAAATTGGGTACATACTGAGAAAGGAACTTCCATAAGGAAGGGATTTCAGACAGCTTAGCCATTGGGGGAAGGTAGATGTCATGGCAAAAACGCTACTGGTCACCTTAGGAATAAGGGGCCAACTCGTCCATTTT